ACGCTGACCCCTGTGCTGCATTCCCTTGCACTCAAACCGTAAGACCTCCCCTTTGCGGTTTTCAGCCTTAAAAACCCTTGTCTCTCCCCTCCTGGGCGCGCACCTCAGCATCTTGCCGGGATGTCTGCCGCTGGGTACCAGCTAAAATAAAGCGCTTCTTTAACTTTAGGACTCACCTCATTGTCATCTGATTTTTGAGTTACAACACTAATTATTGAAACTGTCCTACCAATTTGGTTTGAAACTGTCTCATTGCTATAAATATCTCAATAAAATTATGGGGAAAAGGAAAAAGGATCTCACTACAGAGATTGGACTCATAGTGATCGTCCTGTTTCTAGCTTCCCAGGCGATGAGATTAAGCACCCCCATGCCCATGCTCAGTCGCAGCACGCCCCCCGGCGCACGCTGGGGATCGAACTAGGCCGCTGCGCTCTGCCTAAGCAGGCACTTTAGTCCGCTGAGCTAGGTGGCCGCCCCTCTGTTGCCCATTTCTACATCCTGATCATACATTGATTACAGGAATAAGTATGTGCTGTGAAGGGGTCTGGCTGATCAGCTACTTTTCACTGGTTGCTGAGACAAAACGTGGACACCAAAATTAAGAAAGGAAAGGTTTATTTAGCTCCCAGTTAGCTAAATAAAGCAGCTCCGCGGCTCCTCTGCTTCTTCAGTCGTACTCCGCTGGCTCCAAGGCAGCTGGGCAGCAGCAAGGAAGGGCAGAGGAGCCGCGGAGCTGCTTTGGCGTCCGTCAGGCCCCTCGTCTCTGCCTTCCACACCGACTGCGGAGGCCCGAGCTCCCGCAAGGAAGTGGCGCAGCTGCAGAGATGGGGACGCCCCAGGAAGCGGGCCCTCAGAAGCCGGCCTCATCCCCTTCCAGCCCCCTTTGTGCTGAGTACTCTAGGGCGGCCCCCACGCCCAGGGCGTGGAATCGCCAGGCGGATCCAGCCAAGCTTCCACTCTTCACAAGCTGACTCCACAACCCAACCTCCTGTCCATTCAGATCTAGCCCGTCCCCATTTGCTCCAAAACGCTCACCAGGGGCCTTGCGGCTGTAGCTCTTACCCCATGGGTAACTGCAGCATTCCAGTTGTAAGGTTATCCTCAAAGTCTGCCACAAAATATTTATTTTATGACTATTTTCACATCGCTCTAGCATAGCCATAGTCTTTGGAAACAAGATACACCATTCCATTTATTTCACTCTGATTTTAATCAGTAGTGGTATTTCCAGGGTTGGCCAAATAGCTCAGCGGATTAAAGTGCCTGCAGGTGGGGGCTGCCGTGCCGGCCCCGCCCCCGGGATGCGATGAGATAGCAATTGAGACTGGGCGTGGTGGCGCGTCCTTGTAATCCCAGCTCTTGGGAGGCTGTAAACAGGCAGATCACTAGGAGTCCGATCTAGTAGTGAGACCCTGAACACCCTGTAGAGCCTTCCCTAAAATACAAAAATAAATAAATAAAATTTAAAAAAGTGGTGTTTCCATTTATCAAAGGTAGTATTTAAATGAACGCAGGCAGCGAGCTGTATTTTTTGTCTTTTAGATAGGAAAGGTGAAGTTGTACGTGCCACTGAAGTGGATTTGCCGTTCTGGCCAAGGGTTAAGCTGCGCTCAAATGAAGACCACCTTCTGTACCCCCGGAGCATTTCTCAGGCTTTAGTATATAATAAATTACTCTCACAATGTTGTCTTAATATTATTTAAAATATAGTCTGCTTTGTAAAAGAGAAACACTCTAGGCAATTTTGGTATTTTCATGTGAATAAATTTAATGTCATATACATTTTTTTTTTTTAAACCAGAGTAACTGAATTTGTAATTTCTTACTACTGGTACTGACACTGCGCAGCAATAAGGTAATTTTTGATGACTTGAAGATTAAGACCTCATCCTTGCACCATCTAGCATAAATGTGACATGTGACCAGCAACCTTTAAAAAAATTTTTTTTAAAGAATACAAAATGGTGAAAAACAAATTAGAAACAATATAAAATTTAACTAAGCAAAGTAGTAGGAATTTGACAATGATTGCTGTATTGTATAATGCGATCTTCAAATTAGTTGTTTAGGTTACCAGATATAAACCTACAAAATTGGTTAAAAAATTATAAGAAATTAAAAAGAAAAAAAAATTAAGCCTTAACTGCTCCTTTCAATAGACTAACAGAAATCAACAGTACAATTATCCAAACTATCCTGCATGAATATGTCTTTTTTCCTTCCTTCCTTTCTTTTTTTTT